TAATGCAGTGATACTTACAAGACTATTGCAGAAACTATTAACTGTGAAGTATCAATTATATTTGACGCTATTAAACAATTTTATACTACAGGATCAATGGAATTGATATTTTATTCTGAATGTTTGCCTTTGATTACGATTCCCTAATGCAATTATCTTAAATGAATTGTGATGAATAATACAACTAAAAATCATTGTCTATGCGCTGCTGAAATACAAAAATTTCAGAAAAAGAAGTCCAGGTAAGATGTTTTGACCTGGACTATTAGACAAACCCTTCATTCTGTTAGATTAAAAAGTTGTATTGCACAAAAAAACCATTAATTTATCAGCAAATATGAAAGCATGCCTCGCATAGTATTTAGATCACTAAAGCTAGACCAAAGTGGACTAGTCAAAAGTCATATGAAGTGATAAATTCACATTCTTACAATTCAATAAACCTATTCTAGCAGAGCGTGGCGAAAACCAGAGAAGGAATAGAATTTATCATGTGTTTTAGCTATGGTAAAATATAATCCTGATCATATATACTGGAATCATTTTTCAAGAAAAGGTATCAAGCCGATTGTTCTACTGTCTGATATAGCAACTGGTAACTCACATATCACTATTCTTCATAAGTATATTATATTAGCCATGAAAAAAACATTTTCAAATAATAATGGTTAGTTTCAAGAGGACAATATTCAGCTACACAAATCAAAGATTGCAATAGCTTTTCAAACGGAAAATAGCATTCGTACGTTATCTTAGCCAGTTCAAAGTTTTAATCTTAATCTAATTGAGAATCTTTAAGCTGAAGTCAAAATTATTCGCACATATAAAAAACTGCCATTTAATCTCATTGAACTTGACCGATACGCTAAAAAAGCATGAAAAGAAATTCTGAAGCATATTATCAAAAATCTAGTCAATAGTATATCACAACGATTTTAAGCAGTAATTATAATAAACGGAGATCTAACTAAGTATTAGTTACTTAGTACAAAATGTAGACCTTTACCTAATCTAAATAAAATATTAATTGACCTTTTATTGTTTATGCTAAAATATATTAGGTTTTATATTAGGTAAATACATTTACAGAAACTTTTGTCATCCTCTGTATAATAAAGATTTGCAAAAATAATTTTAGTAAAAAATATAAACTTTTATATTGAAATTTTATAATTTTTTTGTATCTAATAAAAGTATTTTATATAATTTTTCACAATTTTTTAAATATTTCTTTATTTTACATGTTTTACAAATTTTTTTTATATTTCTTTCTTTAATATAAGAATACTGAAAATAAATTTAAAGAAAAAATAAACCTATTAATAAACTTTTTAAAAAAAATAAAAATTTCTTATTATTATAAAAAATATATATATATACAGTCAACCCTTGATATAACGAATTTTATGTCCTGAACTTCAACTTCGCTATAGAGCTATAGTGAATTTTTTAAAGAATTTGATTGGCTAGTTCGTTATAACGAGGGTAAATTTAATATAGTTGTCCAAAAAATTCGTTATATAAAAATTCGCTATAGAGAGGTATGACTGTATATATTAAATAGTTGTATAATTACAAATACTTTAAATTGATATCTAATTCTTTTTATTAACAAAAAAATATTTGTTCTTTTTATTATTCTGTATCTTTTTTATATGAAATAAGTATTTATATATTTATAAAATTTATATTCTTTTAGTATCAAAAGGTTAACTATATATTAACCTATAAAGATTATAGATAAGAGACGAAATTTAAAAAAACAATTAATAAACATCTAAAATTTTATTAAAATATGGAAGGCAGTCAGTAAAAAAGGGGGAAATCTAAATTTTGGTCAAAATTTATATTATTAGACTACTTGGTTAATCTCGATTATGTGCACAAATTTGGTTTAATAATAAAAATTAACAAAAATTTTGGATTTTCACCTTTTCTACTGACTGCCTTCCATATAGTGAAAGGCAGTAGAAATATATATTATAATTCAAATGATCTTTAAAAAAACAGAAAGGTGTAACACAGTAAATAATCTACAATGTAATCAACATATAAATTACAAAAATTGATTTATGAGAATTTATGACATAATAATCTGCACAGATGATCTATAAAATTAACCAAATCAATTAATGAAAAGATGAAGTAATAGATCATTAGCCCTATAATGATAATGACATGCATAATTTCTAAACTAGAAACTCCAAAAGGAAATTTCAAGGAGAAACTAATCAAAGACTAAGTATTGAGATATAATAATGATTAAAGAATAATATAATTATATTTTTTTTATCTCTTTAATACAAATATATTATAGTTATAAGACTATTGCATAGTGATTAGATATTTATTACTTAATTATTATAGCAAAATTATATAGAAATATAAGAGAATTATTATATAGTTTTTATGCAATTTAGTATAGAAATAAGCTGAGTTTTTTATTATGTATTGATAGAAATTTAGAAAGTTAATTTTATAGATTAATAAAACTCTTTTCTAAATTATCTCAGCAAATAAATCACTTGTGTTAACCATATTTTATATTAATCTTATTTTGTGTTAACTGTGTTTAGCATCACTAATTTATTTATGTCAATAAATCATTTAGTATCAACCAATTGCTTTGTATTAATAATTGAGTTTAAAGTCAACAATAAGCTTAAATGTTAATATTGTTAAATACTTTAAGCTGCATATCAATAACTTGATTAAAATGCATCTATTATAACGTTATCAAGGTAATTTTCCTAAAATTAGAGGAAATTATAAGTCAAACCTAGAAAATTGAAAGTCCACATACTTGCTAATTCAGAAACTTAATCGTGAAAGTATACTAATATTAATTGAAGTTCAATATAATTGAAATCTTTTTCAATTTATTATAAAGATTAAGTTAAATATTGCTGCTACTCAATTGATTAAGTGTTTTAGTTCACCTAATTGGATAACAACATTTTTTATGTTTCAAGCATTTTAAGATTGTTTTACATTATATTTAAAATCGTCACACATTAAGTCTCAATATCTCAAATTATGTCTCAAAAATGTTCTATGACAACACTGGTGAGTGATATGATAAAGTTATTTTTGAGGGGGTTTTAGAAGGCATCTATAATAAGGATGTTATTCTAAAAATTAGTTTTATTATTAAACTAGTTTAGTAGGTTGCAATATATATATATTGCAACCTACTTACTTTAAATTTTTACCTACTTAATAGTAAATTGTTACCTTCTTATGAGTAAATTGTACCTTCTTACAATTATCAGTGCTCTGTAGCCTTTTTATTGCCTTATAACTATTTGCTTATTTTTATTACTTTGTGGCTTTTTTATTGCCTTGTAACTATCCAATTGGTAATAACCTTCTACGCTTGAATAGATGACTAATTCTATTTTGGGAGTTGTTGGCCTTCCGTAAGTGTTTAGATACCTGGTTTTATGTTGAGAGTGCTGGCCTTCTGTACCTTAATAGGTTTTTGATTCTATATTGATGTGCTTACCTTTTGTGCTTGTTTGATTGCCTGTTAAAATGTTAAATTGCGATAAAAAATGCATCGGGCGGCGCAGTGAATTTGCAATTAATTTTGGTCAGCTCTATGATATAACTCTGGTCAATCTTTTGGGCATATAATTTGAGAATCTAATTTGGTGTTGTAATAGCATCGTAATAGCATTCTGCTAGTATCATAGAACTCTTCTGGAACTGTTATGAAACTGGAGGGAAACTAGAGAGATTCTATTAGTTCGCCAGTTTTATGCTAGCTTAGATGCTGAATTATTATATCCAGACTTCTAGCCAAATTTATGGAATGATGTTGGCTGAAAATAAGCAAATTAATACTACGTCTTACTGCATTACTGGAATACCCTCACATAGTTGCTTCCCTCTTATTTGCCATTATTTGATTGCCAGATGAGGTATGAAGTGCTAAATTTGCAATCCATCTATTTGCTAAAGATATGTTGCAATCTATTCACCCACTTTTTGATTGCTAGTGAAGCACATACGAAGTATTAGTGTTGTGCTATTCTTGCAATCCCATCTTTTATAGCCTGTTTAATTGCTGTGAATAAGGCACAAAGTGCCGAATTGGTTCAGAATTTACATCTTTCATACCCTTTTTTTGTGTATTCTTCTGAGTCTTTTTACCTTTCTGACCTCTTTCCTGCCTATCGCCAGTAGTATACTAAAGCATAACTTCTTATTTTCTTTCCTATATATAATTCTACTTTGGTGTACTACCAAATCTATATCTTATTTTACACTTCTGCATTCCTAGAACTCTTTCTCGTATAGTTACTACTCTAGGATACTTTAGGATATTACTGTCTCAATTACTTTTGGGTAATACATTGATTACTTTGAATACTACCTCTAATCCAATGTTTTGTTAACAAGCATATTCGCCCAAAATCACATATATTTTTTATTTTGAAGATTACAGTTTTCTATGTAATTTTATACTGCTTTCTTGCATATAATACCATGCTACTTGCACAAAAAAATTTTGAATCTAAGAAGCGTGCTAAAATAGCCGACATTCTGAATCCTTTCATTGGTTCGTCATATGATGATTTTAGGAAAGAATATGATTCTATCTGCTTTAATTATAATTCTCTAAATTCAAAGCAGAAAGCTATTAAATTGTATATGAATTCATACTATGGTGTAACTAGCCAAAGTGACTCCCCGTTCAATATGCTTGAACTCGCTAGAGGCGTTACTTCAGCTAGGCGAGAAAATATCAAACTCATTGCAGAGTTCGTGAAAAAGAAAGGTTTGGGATAAAATATGGTGATACTGATTCCCTATATCTCACTTGTCCAGATTCTTATTATGAGAAATGTGATCTATCTTATAATGTTGAAAAAGGCGTAATCTCAAAACAATAGTACTAGGCTGAAATGGTCAAAATTACTATGAGAATAATGGAAAAATTACACAATGAAGTAAACAACTTTCTTAGGTTAAAAATCAGATCAGATTATCTCAAAATGGCTTATGAAGAAGTACTATTTCCGGTAGTATTCACTGGAAAGAAAATGTATTTTGGCATCCCTTATAAAGATATTCTGAACTTCAAACCCAAAGAGTTTTTTATAAGAGGAATCAACATTGTGAAACAGGATAAATCCCAAGTTTTCAAAACCATAGGGAATCAGATTATGTGAAGAGCCATGGATATTAACAATGACCGATCACTCTATGATATTGCTAAAGACGTTCTCAGGGATGCTTTAGTTAATACTAAGCAATGGAATTTCAAACAGTTTATAAAGACTAATGCATGGAAACCTGATAAAGACAACAAAGCTGTATAGCGATTTATAGAACGAATGAGGGGAGAACATAAGAGTAAAATTCTGACGTCAGGTGAGCATTTTAGTTATATAGTAATCCATCCTGATACGACTTTTAATTTACGTGATAGAAAATTAACGTTAACAAAAGGTGAAAAAATGGAATTCGTTGATGTGACGAAGGAATTGGATAAGAAGCTAGATTTATATCATTATTTTGAAAAAACTATTATTGGCTTCTATGTTCGATTTATCATGTGTGATAAGAAGTATGAACTAACTCTCTCAGATAAGATAATGCAAATCGAGGATCCAGATAAAAAATATAAACAAATAGATGATTATGCACAAAAGAAGGTCAAATCATAGCTTGAGGGTTTTGTGAAGAAGAATATCATAGTCAATAGTGTTACTTCCAAGATAATGGGATCCTGTGAGATTGTTTATAAGCGTACTTACAGAAATGCTATTAAAAAAGTGCAAGAAATATTATATCAAAAGATAGGCAGTTTATACGAAACATTTTATGGTGAATGGCTTAACTATAAGATTTTTATGGAAAGTAATCCTATCAAGATATTATGGGAAAGATTCATGAAATACACTATAAAAATTACAAAAGATAAAAACCTCTCAGTAAATGATGAAATGAAGGAAAAAATATGCTCTTATTTTGCTCGATATCCTAGTGAGCTTGTAAAATGTATTGAAGAGTATAATTTATTCTTTCATAAATTAGTCTATCATATGTGTTACAAAGAACATATATCAATTCCAGAAGAAATTAGCCCAGTTTCATCTATACGAAAAAATGAGATAATTGTTGACCTACTAGCTTTACCTTACATATCAGAAATTGAGGCGCTAAATGACATTAGTAATTTATGGTATTTCCATTTTGAGGATATAACTGGGTCAGAGGCATTAGCAAAGTACCTAAATAGATAATATTATTAAGTATTTTAGTGGAGCTATGAAAATTTCAACTAAGTACTTATAATATTATTTATATATTATTTCTCGTATAACAATACCCGCCAACTTTAATTCCTATATTAGATCTGGATTTGCAAGGCAAACATCTCTTCTGACCTCTGAATCATATAACCCGACCTCAAATATGCCTATAAGTGTAAATCGCCAGTCTAAATATATCAGTTCTTCTGATCAAATTAGTCTGAAGCTAGTGATCACTATCACAAATTTCTATATGTGATATTTTATTGCACTTATAAATGCAAGACGAAAATGACACTAAAACTTTAGCATATACTCAGAGATATGAAGGAAGATGCTTAAGTAAAGTTAGTCTTAATACATCTTTATGGTCATGTAAAAAGGTTCATCAATAGGAGACGTCATATAAAAATATGAAACAGAATCATAGATAGTGTAATATTTGCCCTAATGTATCAGAAAGAACATGTCGGTATATATTTGAAGATTTATTAAATAAAAAATTCCCACTCTGAAAACCTAAATTCTTGAAAGATTTACACCTAGATGGATATAATGAAGAGCTAGGCTTGGCTTTCGAATATAATAGAAACTAATATTACCAAATTGTGCCTTTTTCACCCGCAAGAACAAATGAATCTAAACGCACAAATTTGGCATGACTGGAAAAAAAAGCACTATGCTATGAATAAGGAGTAATCCTTATTACAATCCCTTACTGCTTAGTAGACTTAGAGACTTTTATAAAAAGCATCTTGTATGCATTCAGTTACCTTTTAATATCCACCTAGGAGGAAACATTGGCTCTTCTTTAATATGCATCAATTGTTCCCTTACAAAGGGACGTTGAGGTCCTGAATCATCTAAATAATACAAAACAGATATCAGAGAATTCTTTCCAACAACAATTCTTCGAATTTTATGTAGGCTGGAAGACCATATTGGATTTGTTATTCTATACTATTTAAAAGAATCATTTTCCCACTCTTCAGGGCAAGCAAAAATCAAATAGTAGTATCCTTTGGTAACTATGGTTCATCAACACCTATCAGATGATTATATTTTACTGATGGCTTGGAATACACCCGCTCAAATTTTGTAGTATTATTAGGATTCATTTCAATTAACTGAGTTAGGGTATTATTCATATTGTCAACAATTTTTCTTGCAAATCATTTACATTCCCTACAACGTTTGTCAGTAGGTAGGAGAAGCTCTACTGCATACTGGTTTTTAAAAATCTTATATTCAAAAAATCCAGCATAACGATCAACTATCAACTATAACCATGCTTGTGTGCCTGCAACGTGCTATAATTCTTCAAATGTTAACATTATGTTTATTCATTATCAATGTTACACTTCCCATAAACTCAGTGCCCTTATCACATTATATTTTTCGAAACCAGTTAAGAGAATTGTCAGAATTATCATATAGACTCTTAAAAGCTTCTGCAACTTCTTCACTACTTTTTGATGTTAAAAAAATGAAATCTTTATATCTAATCACATAGTCTATAACCAATAGCACATAGTAATATATTAGCCCATTATCCAGCAAATTTGTATCCACATCTTCATCATATGATATTTCAATTAAATCGCACTGGTGTACAGAATTCAGTTTTGTAATTTTAGAGTAGCTAGCATAAGATACATGCTTTGGTGAAGGATGAAAAATTTGATATATTGCCTGCCTATCAAGCTATTTTTTACATCAGTAAATGAAAAGCTGTAGTCAGCTTTTTTACAAGCATCTCATAATCCTTTAGCATTCTGATAAAGGTTCTCAGGACAATAATAAAGCTTTTATAAGCAAGGTGATAGTCTAAATCATGAGCTTTTTGGGAACTAATATTAATTGTAAGTGTTTATTTTGCTATGATTTGATCTAGCTCTTGCGCTTTCTAGGGATTAATATAAATAACCAGTTCCCTATTCCAATTTTTTATAATTATGAAAAAAGTTAGTATCTTATAAAGTTAAATTCTACTCATTAACTGAGGCACTTTTTTCCTTGCGTTTCTGCCTAGCTTCCATTTCCTTTTGCAGGTTTAGTGAAGTATCAAACTTTAGGCGGATTGCAAGAGGATCATCTTCCGGCCTAGTGAAATCAAATACAATAAATTCTTTTTTTCAAAGGTAGCTATTAATAACCATTGAGGCATTTTTTACATCATCAGTATATCGCCTAATAATCTTGGAAATATCTTTATGCGAGCTACCAGAATTACAGATTATTATGTATAAGGCATTTTCACGAATTATTATTAGTGTATGGTGATAACGCTGTATTACATATATGTTTGAAATGTTTTTATAACGTTCATGTGTAAAAAATGGAATGATTCGATTTTGAATAAACTCGAAAGTCACACATAAATCCTCAAAAATAATCGCTGTATTTCTCTCAGGTGAAAATGTTCTTATGCTGGGAATTTTTTTAGGTGAGATATAGCTGAATGTAATATTTTCATAGTAAGGTGCTTTTGGATCTTTTGAAATTATGCCATATATATATCTTACAAATGCCCACTTCAGCTCATCAGAATGGTAACCTCAAACTATCAAATTATCACATGCAATATATTTAGAACCACCTTTCTTATCTTTAATTATGCATTCAGCTTTAGTACTGAGAAAACGATTTCCCAAAATATTAGTCTTACCTGAGCCATTTTTTCCAGTGACTGGTATGGTGAAAGGTCACGATAGACTTGTCAGATGAGATTAAATTCAGGATGATTCATACTTTGTGGCCTCATCTATATCCATAAGGTAAAGTTTCATAGGAGGTAGTTCTGTCTTTTGGTTCTTTTGCATGATAGATTGGGAATCTATAATTTTGATTTCTATTTAAGGGTATTTTATAATTTGAAAGATTTTTTTTTTCATTGTAAGGTGAAATAAAAGAACATAGATGAGAGGATATGTGCTATAGAAAGTATATGATTAGTAATACTATTACAAAGATGATTGCATGCTGAAAAAAGAAGGAATTAGTTTCCCCTGCTTCTGGACTAGTAATAGAGTGCAAGTAGGGCAATGTTAATTAAAGTAGTATTAGAGATATCATTTCTCCCAATTACCTGGGTTTTAAAGGAATTAGGATTGGGTTTTTTTTCAAAATTAGTTAAATGTTTTTTTATATGAACATTGGCCTCATAAAGGAGGGAATCTTTTTTTGATAATACCTTTTTTAGGCGAGTATTGGCATCTTAAAGGTGGTAGTCTTTTTCTGATAATACTTTTTGCAACACCTCCAATATATCTTTCTTAGCAAGTTTTTTTTTCGAATTCTATTACTTTATCTTCAAGCCCAAGCTTCCAGATTATACTTCTTAAATTATCATGAAGCCAATCTAGTAGCTTTAGCATTTCTACTGGCTCTTCTATTACTTCTTCCATTACATCCAAATCATGATATATATACTCTAGATCTATGTTCTCTAACTTACTTTCCAATTTACGTATTTTAGTTTCAAGAGAAAGAATCTGAATCTCGTCAGCGGACGAAGCTTTCTGAACCAAAGTTGCCTCTCTCTTTAGTATTTTAATATTGGATTTGAGCGATTTGATTTCAGCAGAATATTTGGCTTCAAGTTGACTAAACTTATTGTTAAAATCTGAACAGATACGATTAAAATCCTTCACTTGCTCTAAATATATATTCTGCAGATCTTTATAATTATTAGCAATATCAGAAGCAATTTTGATGCTATCACGCAATACTTTCTCAAGTTCTGATTCACAAATGCTATCAAGCTGATGACTTGGAAAATGTCTTTACTTAGTGAACTCTCAACCATCCCTCTATTCTCAATATCTCTTAAAGTATGTACATTGGGCATATTTTTTGGTTTAGTCATTAGTATACTAAAAAATATGAGCGAATTTTTGAGACTACACAATCTGAAAACACTTTATTTTTTATGAATATTAGTTTCTCATTAGCATAGCTAACCTGGGTGAACACCCTTCCTGCAGTTCATTAGAAAGCTGATTAATTAGCCAGAACAAGTATCAGAAATTGAATATAATCATTACTGATAAAAAAGATCATGCCTAGGTATTTAAGATCTGATGCCTCTCTTTCACCTGAAGTAATTCGTAAAATTATGGATGCTAAGAGTACAAGAAATATATTATCAGTTTTAACTAAAAAATATAAAATATTGAAGACACATATTTATAAAATCTGGTGAGAATAAGAACATCCTTCTGACCTTTCATTAAAAAATAGTTGGCCTAGTAGTCAAAATATTGATTGAGATAAAAAAATCGAGATCATATATGACTTATATGTTGAACTTCTTTACTGATAATTTTCGAAAGATTTCATATATTCATATTTTTTAAAAATTATTAATAAGGTCGTCTTTTTCAGAAATTATCAAAGAAATTCAATAATGTTTAATAAACATTAATTACAATATTTGGATAATGATCGATAAATTCTGATTTTTATCAGTTATTTTTTTGTTTGATAATTATCAATAAATGGAATCTCTATCCAAGGAATATTACTGTGCAGGTACCACTTATTTCACTTATTTATCATCTGAAGTTCTTGAAGAAATTCGCAATTCCTGTGGAAAAGTTAAAAATGCTGTAATAGTAATGACAAAAAAACATCACATTTCTACCCAGCAAGTTTATAAAATTTAGCGTAGATCTGCAATAGGACAACCCGATCGTTTCCAATAAGGTGGGTCAGATAATCAAAGCTTAGATAATCCTAATATTACTTCTCTGCCTCAGAATAATATATTGGAAGACACTTCGCTAGAATGTAACACTGCTCCTGATAGCAAGAAGAAAAAGACTGGAGGAAAGAAACAATCCCAAGGGGGTCAAGTAATGCCTGAAATAAAAAAGAAATTATTTCGCCTACTGAATCCTCTGAAGATGTCTTGGATTTACATAAGAGAACTGATAATACTTTAGAAAAAATTAAAGCAAGAAGTCATTCTCTTATTTTCAAATAGTTATTCGTCTTATTCAATCTAACAGCGCAAACTATTATAGTATTCTATGATTTCCAAATTTGATTGAATGCTAGAAAATAATGCCTTTTCAAGCTCTTTCATACGAATTGCCATATTCTCATAGTTCATGCAGTTTATGCATTTTTTTAAGTCTTTCTCACCAGTCAGTAGGGTTCCTCAAAATCGAATCAAATCAAATATTTAAGCAATTTGAATTTGATTTGATTTTTTCAAATCGAATCG